CAGCGCTCACAGGGACACAGGGAGAAGCGGCCTCAGCTGCCCCGGGGGGGGGGGGGGTCGCTCGGGGTCTCTTGTCCTTTCTCTGCGCACCTCAGAGAAGAGCCTGGCCCCCATCTTCTTTATCACCCCTCTTTAGTTATTCGATAGCAACCACATCTTCCCCCTGCTCCCCACCAGCCTTCTCTTTATGTCTAGGCGAACAGGCCCATCCGTGTCACTGGGCGCACTGTTTTCCTTGAAGATGATGTCACCCGTGGGGGAAGAGCCTCAGTTTGGGATTCCCCACTGAACCAAGAGGGCTTCCCCAGCTGCAGCCAACCTGTTTGGGCAGGCTGCATCCCCTCATCACAGCCGGGCCAGTACTACTGCCCAGGACGCTTTCTGCAGGCACCAACAGCCCTTTTTCCAACAAAGCCATCGGAGCAGCAAAGCCAGCGAGGGACCGGCTGCGCTGCCCCGGTCCGACATCCCGAGGAGATGTGCCGCGCCGCGCAGCCCCCGCGAGCAGCGGGTGGCCGTTGTAGTCAAAGGCTGTGCAGTTAATAGAAAGAGGTCCGGCCGCCAGGGAAGACCACAGCCGGACGACAGGAAAGCCAGTTTTACTCCCACCGTTGTCCAGGGCCAGTGGGCAGATGGCAATGGGTGAAGCTTTGCCACGTAGGCAAAGACCGGCTGTCAGCAGCCACATCCACATCCACTCCTACCATACTTTACTCCAAAGGCTCACCCTATGACACTTATATGATACGTTGTTCTAGCAAGTAAGTAAATGGGACTCCCAAACAGCAAGTCTGCTATAAATGGCACATTTTCAAAGTCAGATCTTGGCCTCGTTCTTGACAACCACCCCTCTCTTACATGCAACATGGAGAAGATTGCAGATCTACCTTCACTTTAGTTTTTGGGGTCAGGCACGTTTTGTTTTTCTGAATCAGGTGGCATTTAAAACAGCTAAGAGCAATTCTCTCAGGCTGATGCAATCGTGTGATGCAATGCTCCAAAGGAAATAGAAGTTAGGGTGGGAACGGACCTCAAAATATATACAGTGGTCACTTGCCTCTCTGCCCGAGAGCAGCTACCCCAGCGCACGGACCTCAGCAGTGCCTGCAAAAAGGAGCAAACCAGCAGAACTAGGTGCCTGCCCTTTTCACAGAAGAGTCTCCCCGTTAGGCTCCGCCATCATCAGCCTGACATCCACTTGTAAGTACCTCCTTTGGGATTTTCTTCGGAGCCTTCTCAACTTTTCATTCCTCCTTTGCTCTAACTTACCTCCCCTGCCACTCAGATAAGGAGCGCTGCAGACAGGGAAGGGAGCTGGGAGAAATACGTGTGCTTCTGCAGGTTGCTGTTGCTGCCCATTTGCTAAACCGTGCAGGGTATTTCCCCACTATCTCTTTCACTGAACATCTGGCAGCAACGCTTCAGTTGTTGGGATCCTTTACTTGTGAGAGAAATTGTGACAGCACAAGGGCTGGGAGAGCAATTTTTTTTCTTGAGAGAGTTCACCAGAACAGGTTTGCAGGAGTCAGATTGAAAAAAAATGAGATGAACATCTACTAGTTCTGCTTTTCTTCCTTGCAATGCACAAGCTTCTAGCTGGGGGTGTTTGTTAGGTCAGGAAAGGAGACGGAGGTCAGTAGAGCATCTGTAATGGGGTTACATAATCTCCCTGCTTGAACGAAGTTAAAGTTCCCCTATCTGGCCTGATCTTAACCATACCCTCAAGCCCTCCTGGGAAGGGAAAAAGCTAAGAGGGGAGAAGAACAGACACAGATTGCAACCAGTGGAAAAGGGAAGGTGGCTGAGGGTGGAGGGCTCAAGAAGTGGATCAGGAGAGCCCTGGAGGGGGACACCAAGCAGAGCAATCCTGACAGCACTCACTGCTCCCAAAACACACCTAGGGAACCAGGAGAGTGGCTACAGAGGGGACTCCAGGGTGAAAGGTTTGCTCAAACCCTACTTGAGCTAGTCACATGTGCCAGGCCTCCTGTGCCTGGAAGGTGGCCTCCTTCCAGGAGGCCCACCCCTGCCCATGGCAGGTTCAGAGCATGATGCCCAACATACCTCATATTGCCTCAGGCACCCATTGTGAGGAAGAGCCGTATGGAAAACCATGGAAAGGCGCCATGCATGGACTCTGGGACAGAGCAGGGGCTGGGGTGTGCATCCCACATCATGCCACAGTCAGGCTCCTCCCAGAGCTCCTCTAGGCTGCTCCTAGAGCTGGACGATAGGGAGAGGAACTGGAGTCCTGATCCCCTTGTGGGGTCTCTCCAGGGGAATGGGACCCAGGAAGGTCACCAAAGTCACCAGCAGCGCAGCCAGAGGCTGGGGTTGCCCACTGTCCACTGTCAGTGGGTGACAATAACAGAGTTGGATTAAGTGCGTCTTGGTGGAAAGGTGCTGGGGGGAGGGGGTGCAGACAGCGTGAAGCAACGTGGAGCCCGCAGCAGAACACACCCCAGCGATGCATCTCCATCTCTCCCCACAGGTACTTTCAAGGCGAGGAGGAAGCAGCGTGGACGAAACAAGAGGCGTGACACAGCCGAGACTCACAGACAGATAGTTCAGCATGATGATGCTTTTCATGGCCATATTATCCTTTGTCCTGATGTTTTATGCCCTGTTCTGGGAAGCTGGCAACCTTGTTGATCTTCCTAACAAACGACTCGGTTTCTATAACCTCTGCCTGTGGAATGAGGCGGCTCAAAAGCTACAGTGCCTGGTGTACAGGGATCTGGAGGGCATTGCGGTCAACCCAGAAATAATAAAGTTAGCTATTTTTTGTGCATATTCACCTATGGTCTTCATCCTGTTTTATGTTATTTTCATCTCCTTTGCAGAGCACACTCTTGAAAGACAGCATAGGACTGCTCTTTGGATCACACCAGTCTTCAGCGCAACACTGCTGCTGGTTGGTCTTCTCTTGTTTTTGTCCCAGGTCTGGGATTGGATTTATATCTCTGACCTTAGCTGTGCCTTCCTAGCACTAGTTTTTTCTCTGGTCCTGATGCTGCTTCAGGCTCTCACTGCCTTCAGGTGCCTCAGGTTGGACAGACATGAGGACTGAGAGCAGAAGGGACGCTCTCTCTTGCATGGCTGCACTTTAAAAATCAAATAATCCCACTACAGCTTTTGGCAAGAAATTGACCTGCAGGATGAGTAACTCCTGTCCAGCCGCACTGACACGCCACAGCCATGTCCAGGCCCTCAACCCAGGCTGCCAGCGGGGCTCCTGCAGCGAGGAATGGTGAAGGCGTGGACCACCATGCAGGAGGGACACAGTGCCGTGCCACATCCGTAACCTCGCATGAGGCAGCGCTGGCTTTCCACTCTGCCCCTCTAGGCGCATGAGGGCCCATCTTCTCATCTCTCCTTCTGCAGGGTCTCGGCGGTAACGCTGGTTTGACTGCTTCCTTATTGCAATAAAGGCTCTTGTACCCTACCCCAGCCTCACGTCATCTGTTCGTTACCCCATTCAGCCAGGTAGGAGATGCTGGGCTGTCCTCCCCTGGAACCCCCAACTTTTTCCCAGGCCCCCATACACCTGCAGCAGGGGCAGGTCTGGGTCTGTCCTCAGTGCCACGGGAGGGGACACCTGTGCACCTGGCCACTGGGGAAGAGAGATTTCAGCTGAGAACAATCTCCCTGGCCTGTCCCCTCCCTGAGGCTCTGTGAGGGTGCACTTCCTCCCCCAGCCTGACCTCTTCATAAGGCTCAGTGGTGTCTCCAGGAGCTTCCGGAGCAGGCCTTCTCCTCCATTTCCTCCTATTGTGAATTGTGACCAGAAATAGCTGATCCTGCCCTAACCAACTTCACCCCAGGCCCTGCTGCAGCGATACGGACCTGCCCTGCCTTGCACTGTGCCAGGGCCACGGGAGGCGTCCCAGGCCCCGCTGAGGTTGTGCTGCTGGACTCTGCTCACGTGCCCCCCTCGGCCTTCCCCAAACCCATCAGCTTGCTCGTACTGCAGGGCTTGGCCCAGCAACACAGAAAAACAAAAAGGATGTTATAGACCCTTAGGGAGAAGGTATTCACTGCTGAAAACCTTTCAGTCTAATGCTGCAAAATACTTTTTGTTCAGCCACGGTTCACTCCCGGATGCCTTCAAAGGGTTCTCCCTGCATGGCTAAGCCGAGGGGGCAGCCTGAGAAAACCTGGCCAAGCTCAGCCCACAGAGGCAGCCAGAGCAACGGTGTCAGTTTGTCCCCTGGTCACACGATCCCTGAGCGAACTCCCTGGTGAGACCGCAGGCCTCCCTGGCACAGGTTCTGGCGCTGCAGGGATGGCTGCAGCCCAGCCGACCAAGGCCACGTCCCTCAGCTCAGCTAGCAAGACCGTGAGCCCCACAGTGAGCTGGCTGGGCCCCGAGCCCTTGTCCCAGCTGTCAGGGACAGGTGGGCTGAGCACTCTCCCTGTGCTCAGCCTGACCGCAGATGCTGGTTTCCAAGCCCCAGCTTCGGCCCCATACCTCGTCCAGCCCTCAGCACTCAATGGGGAGGTACAAGCTCTTCCCTGCCGCAGAGCCCAGCGAGCAGCTGGAAAAGCTCCCCCCACCCCAGCAGGGACTCACGCACCAGGACAGCCCTCACCCCGGAGCCGCTGTCGTCCACCTCGTGTGGTCCACGGGCTGGTGGCGCATGCAGCCCCTGGGAGCTATCTGTCACCCCCCACCACAACCCTCCCCAGCGATGGCCCTCAGGAAGGCAACAGTTAAGGAGCAAAATAGGGAAAAGGGGAAGCAAACATAGCCAAAGCCCACTGGCTAGTGGGACTACGCTAGGAGATGAGAACTCATTTTCCAGCCCTTTTGCCTTTTTCACAGTAGGGGATAGGCGAGAAGAAGGGGTTTGGTGTTTCTGTGGCAACACAGTCTTCCTAGAAAAAGCTGCCCTGCTCTGAGCAGCTGGAAGCTGAGAACTCCCTTCTCCTGCCCCCTTGAGCTTCCCTGCTATTTCCTTTCCAAAAGTCTCCCCCAAAATGCTACACAGCCAGGGGCTTTGTAATCGTCCTAGGAAACTCTCTGCCTGCTCTAGGCACTCATTCCTGAGCTCCCCAGGCCCTCATCACACTTTAGATAGCGAGAGATTCAAATCCCATATACAGACCAAGCTCTCCCCATCAGCATCCCCGTGTTTTTCTGGACACCAGTGCCCATATGTTCATGTTTCCTTCCTGCCACGTGCACCCCAAAATTAGGCTAAAGACCTCTTACCCTTCTTTCCCCAAGTTACTGGTTCTAGGAAGCAGTCCACGTGAAGAAGCTATTATTGCTGTTGCCTGGACTAAGAGCTAGGGCCTGCCTGCAGTCCCATCCCTCAATTCCCCAGTGATACAAGAGTGAGATTATTTGTTATAGACCCTCCCCACCTTGTATCCAGATTTGACAGAGTCCAATCAGACATAGGAACAACTTGGCCTAGCTTGAATAAGTGTGACTCAAAAAAGGTAAAATCCTGCACTTTGGGATCACAGCAGCTTGCCTCTGCAAAGTATCAGCGTCACTGGGAGTTCACGGGAAAGCTGCTCCAGGTATACAAAGGAAACTGCATGTTCTGTGTCCAGCACAGCCTGAATCTCCTGTCAGGGCTGGAACTATTGTTAGTGGTGTTCAAACAGGCCCTTTTGCTCCAGTTTGGATTTGGGCTGATCTCCAACACAAAACAGACAACTAGCAGCTGGCTGGCCCACAGGCTGCAAGGGGAATTCATCGCCACCTCTGCCCAAATCCCACCCTTCCCATCTGGCAAGGCTCAAAGACGACAAAGGCACTCAGCCAGGGCCTTTTATTTCTGCCCACATCCAATGCACTGCCCTCCACGAAGATCTCATCTGTTCCACTGCACTAAGATGTTCTGACTTGAGAGGCAGAAATTAGAATAAAACTGCATTTTTGTCTTTAACAATAGACTAGCAATTTCTAATCAACCCAGAAACCATTTCCTGCCCTCTTTCCTGCAGAATGACTCCGTAGCCAGATCATTTCCTCAAATCAGCACATCCCACGTTTCAAGTCCCTCTCTGGGTTGATAGATCAGGTATTTAGAAGTCCCCCAAAAGCATCAGCTTGGGGGGGGGGAGGGGAAGACCCCAATAAGACACCAGGAAGACCCAAAAGCAATTCTGCCTTCCCACACAAACCCTTGTTCTCCATGACTCAACTGCTATTTAATACTGAAGACAGATGGGGGACGGGGCAGCTAAGCTATACAGAACTAGACTGGCTCTGGCCCTCCCCTCTCCTATCCACCATCAGGTACTGGGGATTATCTAGTGCTTCCACTCTCTAATATAAACATTTCAAAAAGTCTAACTCAAGGTCCCTCTTTTTACGGAATTTACGGAAGATATTGCTAGGGGAACACAAAATATCCTAGTAATACAAGTATTTTCGTTCCTGGATGACTTTGCATTGGTTCCCCCCCAGTGGCAGCGTTCTCAGGGCAGGAAGCATCTGGTGAGAACACAAAGGTCTTTTCTCCATGCAGGAGACCATTCTTGGCACATCACTGCCCCAACCATCCTCCACACTTGGCTGAATAGGGCTGAATAGAGCACAGGAATCAAGTGCAAGGTAATATTTTCTTTTTATGAAAAAAAGGTTATACCCAAGGAATACTCTGTTTTGCACAGGCCTTTCCAGCTTGAGCTGTCTGCATCCCCAGGCACTGCACTGCCTCGTGCATTCTTCCTCCAGCCTTGCCTTCTCCTGCACAGCCCTGCACGCGACCCCAGCAGCCTTCTAGCCACACGCTACTTCAAGACTCCCTAACAGAGGGAGCCCAGCTGCCACGACAGGTCAGTGAAGACTGTATTTTTCAGTGCTGCTGCTGATCCAGTCCCAGAACAGCATTCTTCTGCACAGTGGTTTGGCATATACATTTAACATTTGTCAGGAGGCAAAAGCTAAAATGAGAAGAAGTGTGATTGTGGTTTGTCTTCTCTCTCATGCAGTTTGTTCCTGTGGAGTTAACACTGTTTTTTCCCCCCAAGTCTGTTGTTCTTTTCCATCAGCACTTTCCAGGTTAAGACTTTTGAGCAAGTAAAGTTGTTAATTTAATCTTCCCATCCATCGAGGCAGTAAGGCAGGTCCCACAGTCCATGGCCATGCTCCAGTCCACTGTGACAACAGGAGCTCGGTGTCCTCCAAGAGAAAGGCAACTCTCTAGGACCTTTTCCTCACCGTTTAACTGAAATGAGAAAACATAAGAATTTAAGGCGGCAAATTTCTGCAATAGGGGCACTGTACCCACAGGAGAATCCAAAGCCTGCTACATACTCCATATCCCAATAAGCATAGATATTAAGTGGAAAAATCAGGCACAAATTTATGTAGCATACACAAGGAAGCAAACTTTCAGTCTCAGGATCTGGAAGTACATGATCTCAAGCAGCTGAATTTCTGACATCAGCTGAACTGCAGTAATTGAACACGGCAGGCTAAGAGCACACAGTTGTGCAGAGCGCGTAAAGTTTAAGCCACAGTTATGTTAGCGCAGGTGCTTTGAATGCTGCAGATGTGAAGTAAAAATAAGTCCGTTTAAGCTACCTTTGAGGTCAGTAAACGTTGCAGTGGCTTGATACACATTGCCTCAAAAGGAGACAGGCAAGGTGGATGCAATCCATCTACCATAGCAACGATAATTTGGTTACTTTCAACCATGCAGCCTTACCCTTCATTTCATTTTAGGGCTGTGCATGCAGTAAGAGGAGAGAATCAAGACTGGGACTAGCAAAGCATTGGCAAGCACATGAGGCAGATTAAAGATGAGCATCAGTCAACAACTGCACATTTTGCACTGAGCTGACATGCGTCAATAGAAGAAATCTATGACCTCTCCCTAAGCAGTATGAAAAACTGCTGCAACTAGGCTTTAGGAACAAAGGACCATGCGTGTCCTAGCTACACGCAGAGGGCCTAGAGCAAACACTTGCAAAACACTAAAATGCACACAGGATTAAACTGAATAGTGCGTTTCACAGTGCAGGGGTCAGCAGGGGACTTTCAATGGCTGCTATGGCAGCCTTGTAATAAATGTTTGTGTGGATCCATAAGAATATTTCCTGTCACTTCTCGGACTTACCTTAAAAATGACTCCCCCAGTAGAAGAACACGTCAGCATATAGTTCCCTTCAGAGTCAAAAGCAAAGAGCCTTCCTCGTGGGAACTGGACTTGCTTGTAACCACTGTATCCGGACAGCACAAAGGGACCCGTAGCTTCGCTGGGAAGATCATATTCAGAAACCTTCAAGCCACTTTTGTGAATATTCCACTGAATAAACTAGAAGAGCAAAAACAGATGACAGAACTGCGTACTTCCACATAACAAGCAGGATCCTGTTGGGATTTCACTCAACTCTCCACAGCCAATCGCTTTCCCTGAGCCACACCTCTAACTGCTAAGGACTGCTGAGGA